CCCCCCCCCCCCGGCAACCCCTCGCCCCCTCCTCTGCCCCTCTCCAGCTTCCAGGTGCCCTGGGTTTGGGACCTCCCCATCGCCGTCAGCAACGACATCAGCGAGCAGAGCCTGGAGGAGTTCAGCCGGGAGGTGAGGTACCGGCTGTCGGGGCTGGGACGTCACCTTGGCGGTCGCCAGCACTGCTGAGGTTTGGAGCGCACGGGGTGGACACGTGGGAGTCACCTGGGACTTTGTCCCCACATGAGAACAAAGGTTTTAAGCTGGGGGAAAAAACCAAACAGCTTTTGGGTGGGGCAGATGCTGGGCACCTTCAGGGAGAACATCTTCTAACCTGCCCTGTGGCCCTGGTTTTGGGATGGGCTTAAAAACCTGTGGTAGGGTTGGGCTGTTGACGGCCACCATCTTCTCTGCTGCACCAGGGGGCCGAGATCGATACCATCGGCGTTGGGACGAACCTGGTGACGTGTCCCCTGCAGCCGTCGCTGGGCTGTGTTTACAAGGTAGGGGTGGCAGCTCTCTGCCCTGCGGGGCTCGAGGGGCACGGGGGTCCCTGGCTTCTCCCAGGCTTCGCACAGCTGGGGCCGAGTGGCAAAGGGAGCTCCGGCCCTAAGGGACGCTGCTGCCAGGCCAAGGTCATCAAATCACAGAACAGGTTGGGTTGGAAGGGACCTTTCAAGGTCATCCAGTCCAACCTCCCCACCATAGGCAGGGGCATCTTCAACCAGATCAGGTTGCTCACAGCCCCGTCCAACCTGTCCTTGAAAGTTCTCAGGGATGGGGCATCCACCACCTCTCTGGGCAACCTGTGTTTCACCACCCTCAGAGTCAAAAATTTCTTCCCTAGACCTCATCTCAATCTCCCCTCTTTCAGTTTAAAACCATCACCCCTTGTCCTGTCACTCCAGGCCCTGCTAAAAAGTCTGTCCCCATCTTTCTTATCTTCCCCCTGTAAGCATGGCAAGGCCACACTCAGGTCTCCTCAGAGCCTTCTCCTCTCCAGGCTGAACCACCCCAACCCTCTCAGCCTCTCTCCACAGCAGAGTTGTCCCAGCCCTCAGACCATTTCCATGGCCTCCTCTGGCCCTGCTCCAACAGGTCCCTGTCTGTCCTGGGCTGGGGACCCCCGAGCTGGACGCAGGGCTCCAGGGGGGTCTCAGGCCAGCGGAGCAAAGGGGCAGAATCCCCTCCCTCACCCCCCTGGCCACGCTGCTGGGGATGCAGCCCAGGGTACGGTTGGACTTTTGGGCTACCAGCGCACATTGCTGGCTCATGTCCAGCTTTTCATCCACCAGTACCCCCAAGTCCCTCTCCTCAGGGCTGCTCTCCATCCACCCATCCCCCAGCCTGTATGGATACCGGGGGTTGCCCCGACCCAGGCGCAGGACCTTGCACTTGGCCTCGTTGCCCTTCATGACGTCTGCATGGGCCTGCTCCTCCAGCCTGTCCAGGTTCCTCTGGATGACATCCCCTTCCTGCAAGGGAATCATCTGCTTTGCTCAGCTTGGTGGCATCTGCAGCCTTGCTGAGGGGGACACTCAATCCCACCATCTGTGTCCTCCTCTTTGGCAATAATGGTCACGAGACCGCTGTAAGGAGAAGCTTGCAGGCAGGATAACCAGCATCAGGGTGGTTTGAGGGGTTTTTTTTTTAATGATTTATTTGGCTAGTTTGTGTCGGTGACCTCCCCAACATGCGGGGATGGACGTAGAGGGGACAGAGCTCAGCACAGGCACCAGCATGAGGTAGGACGTGTGACAAAAATAAGGTGCCCGTCCCCATAATCTCCTTCTCCTACAGCTGGTGGAGGTTAATGGCTCCCCCTGCCTGAAGCTCACGGAAGAGGAGGAGAAGGTGACGATCCCAGGGACTAAGACGATCTATCGGCTCTACGACACTGCTGGTGAGTTGGGACACCCTTGCCCTGGTGCTGACCTGTGTTCCCCTCCTGCTCCCTAACCCCATTCCTCATGTCCCGCGTGCCTGCTGGTCCCTAACCTGGCCACCCCTGCAGGTCACCCCTTCATGGACCTCATGGCCCTGGAGGAGGAGCCCTCGCCCAGCGCGGGGCAGGAGCTGGCGGTTCATGTCCTGGGGCAGCTCGGCGAGGCCAGCAAGGTCATGCCCACCACCGTGGAGCCCCTCAATCGCATGTACTTCAGAGATGGCCAGGTCAGGGGTGGCTCTGCCTTCTGCTGCTGGGGTGTCCTCCCCCACGTTGGGTGAAGGGCCAACCCAGGGTGGTGGTGTCTTGGCCATAATGGCAGAATGGAAGGGTTAAAGCCCAGCGTTGCCTTGCATCTGCGACGTCCCCTGTCACAACAACTCAGGTGCCACCCTGGACCTGGTGGCACTGGAGTTCAGCTTGGAGCTGGCTTGCTGGGGATTGGGGCTGGGTGGCCAGCACCTGCCATGGCCATGGTCATAGAATCCCAGAATCGTTTGGGTTGGCAAAGCCCTTCAAGCTCCCCCAGCCCAACCGTGCCCCTACCCCTGCCATCCCACCCCCAAACCCTGGCCCTCAGCACCGCCTCTGCCCGGCTGTTAAATCCCCCCAGGGCTGGGGACGCGACCACTTTGGCACTGTCATCTCTCCCCAGCTCTGGGAGCCCGGTGCCTTACGTCTCCTCGGGGTTTCTGCGCAGCCCGAGGCAGCCTGCCGGAAGGGAGGAGCCACGCGCAGGCGTCCCTCAGCCTGCTCCACCCTGCTCACCGCCGGCTCCATGAGCCACAACCCTACCCGGTACGTCTGCCATTTGCCAGGCACCAGCGGTAGACACCCAGGAACCTTGTCCAGCCCCGGTGGCCTGAGCAAAGCCAGCGTGGCTCCACTGTGGAGCTACAACGGTGCATGGATGTGGGGCTGCAGTCCCCCCTGGGGAACGCACGCTCACCGTCCCCTCTTGCTCCCGTGCCAGGTGGCCATGACGGAGAGGCTGCACCGCCTCCTCGCCGAGCTGCGGCAGGCCAGCCAGTGAGGGGGGCCCCGATCACCCCCCGACCCGTGCCAGCCCACACCGGGCACAGCCCCTGCCTGGGGTGCCGGCTTTTCCTCCGCGCTCTTTTGAAGACCAGGTGACTAATTGGGAATTAACGGTGCTAATGACTTTGCTGCTGCATGGTGCTGGTGCACGGACCCTGCAGGAACTGGAAGTGCTCCCTGGAGTCCCAGTAGCAAAGTTGGGCAGAGAGGGATGGGGCGGGCAGAGCTGGGAAGCAGCTGCCCCCATGTCCTCCAGAAGCGATGGTCCTTCCCTGTCCCCCTTGGTGGCCCTGCCAAGCCCTGTGCCTTCTCCCGTGGCAGCGCTGCCCATCGTGGTGGGC